CGTACACGCGGATACACGCACGTACACGCACGTACACGCGGATACACGCACGTACACGCGGGTACACACACGTGCACGCGGGTACACGCACAACGTACACGCGGGTACACGGAGATACACGCACGTACACGCGGGTACACGGAGATACACGCACGTACATGCGCGTGCACGTACGTGTACCCGCGTGTACGTGCGTGTATCTGTATGTACGTGCGTGTACCCGCGTGTACGTGCGTGTATCCGCGTGTATCCGCGTGTACGTTGTGCGTGTACCCGCGTGTACGTTCGTGTATCTGTGTGTACGTGCGTGTACCCGCGTGTACGTGCGTGTATCCGCGTGTATCCGCGTGTACGTTGTGCGTGTACCCGCGTGTACGTTCGTGTATCTGTGTGTACGTGCGTGTACGTGCGTGTACCCGCGTGTACGTGCGTGTATCTCCGTGTACCCGCGTGTACGTTGTGCGTGTACCCGCGTGCACGTGCGTGTACCCGCGTGTACGTGCGTGTATCTGCGTGTACGTGCGTGTACCGCAGTGCAACCGCGCTGCAACCGCAAGTTAAGATCACGTGACTCGCTTGACCTGCTGCTATTGGTCGATTACATAGAGCCGGTGTGGAACTTGACTCAGCCACTCCACAGACGCTGTGCAATCTGCCACACGTGGAAGAAAATATCAAGCACGTGTGATATTTTCCACACGCAAGAAATCGATGCGTTTGCATGCGCACACGCTGTGTTTTGTGCTGCGCCATCAAGATATCATATATATGACTAGCTGCGGGTACCCGCTGCGCTGGGTAAAATCGTGCTATTAATTCATAGTACTATAATATTGGGACAGAATAGGACCATTGGGTAAAAATCGACAATAACATTGCAGACAATATTAATATTTAGAAATGAGTTTAATAAGATAATAAGCATGAGAAAAACGAAAAAACTGTTACGTATGACATTTATATGACAGCACAACCGAACTTAGAACCCCTGCAACATAATAGTAATATGGTGTAAATGACAAAAAGTTATTTATAAGAGCATGTAGGAATGGGTTGGACTTTTTATTTGAAAGCCTCGTGATAAAGAATGTTTTTCGTCTTATTCTCTGGTGGAAATATGTAGAGATTCCTGGCGTCTCCAACTCTTGAGCTCCCCACGTACAGCTATCCATTGTGAGATCGTAGCATGAATAAAAGGAATATAGTATCAGGAGCTAATAATGACAAATTTGTCATTATTAGCTGCTCATAGTATAGATAGAGACACGCAACCATGCACATTGAAATGAAGAAATTTTCGTAGTGAATCAGAAACTGCATAGCTTTCGAATGGAACAATGCATTCTGAGATCGTAGCATCTGAACTGAACCTCTGAGCTAAATGAGTAGTAGCTCTGAACTGGTGAAACTGGGGCGTGTTCAGGAGAGCGAGCGCTCGATGCGAACGCTCGATGAACGAACGCAGTGCCTCCTGAACGACACACGAGCGCTCGCTGTGCGCTTGCTTGATCAAAGATGGCGGCCCCCATGGAGGGTTACTCAGCAGATTTTAATCGCGAGAGAACAAGTACTGTTAAACGAATTAGCAGACGAAATTGATACAAATTGAATTTAGAAGTAAATGAATGAATGAAAAGTGACATAATTGTAACGTTTAACGACATAAGGTTTACGACATTGTTACGTCATACGGTTGTCGACATT